TGCTCGCTTTGGAGACATAAAAGGTCAGTCAAATGCAAGCAATTCTGCCAGCCACAGCATTTGTTGAGGGGAAAACATACAACGTGGTCAACGTCAGGGAAAATAGATGTTGTGGATTCATAAGGCTAAAAGAAACCTCAAACGGCAGTCTGTTCCACCATACTGCTCCAGAAAGAATTCAACTATATTTATGTTGTTCCTGACTAATATTCAAACAACTTTTAAGGATGTTAAAATCCTGAAAATCCCAATTCAATGGTCTATTCCATTGCTTCAATTTCATTAATGCTGAACCCATTACATATCATCTGGTTGCGCACAGGCATGGAGAGCATTGCCCCACACCAACTTTGTGACATTTGAAACTTATCATGTCTTTTCACGTTGACACCCTGATTTCATTGGAGACGAAACAATTGCAGACCTTTCAACCTTCCTCCAGAGGCAGTATTTTCTAACTATTTCATTGTTGTCATTCCTCTCCTCTGGATACTCTCCAGTTCATCCATGTCCTTATCGAAGTCTGGACCCCAGCTGGATGTGGTGTTACTGCTGAGAAGGTCTATTGCATGAAGTGGAAGTACCAATTCTCTTGTCTTCTGTGCTGGTTTTGTCTTTATAGCAGAAACCCTCAAGTAATCTACCATAAACCACTTCTCTTCTAAAGAATTGCAACCAAATCCATTCCTTATACAGTTGATAACTGAAATATCTTTGTCTTCTTGTATACATTAATTTTAATTCCACCTCCAGTACATTCACAGTACCTCTCCATTTAGATGTCAACTGCAGCTGCAGCAAGCACCCGTGAGGTCACTGTTGAAAACACTCTGTAGTACTGGTTGTTGGATAAACGCGTATCATGATATCTCTCATTTTATTTGCCACAGTTTTCACAGGTGAATGTGAAAATCGACAATATTCTGAGGATTTGAGACAGAAAATTTGGGCAGGCTTTTATGAAGGCAGTAAAAGTGCAGATCTTTAACAAGAGGACACTGCGTTAGTGGGATCTGAAGCCTTGATACAAACTGGATTGACAATACTGTTTCCAAAAGGTCTTAGGATTTTGATTTTTTTTTTTAACAAGGCAAAGCAGTTACTCTAATTCTCCATCATTTAGCTGAATTATAATAAGAATTAGCCTGAGTCATAAAGACGTGACAAATGACAGCCCACATGGTTAAAACTTGGCAAAGTTATAAGCAACAGACAAGAGGTTTTACAATGGGGAAGACAGTTCAGTGCTGTCAGCAGCCGCTCAACCCAGCTATATCACGTGTGCGCCAACAGATACCCACAGACACTATGGATTCACATGGGTTTCTATCCCTTTTTTTCTATTCTTGGCCAAAATGTTCACTGTGATTATAGATTTTGGGTTTTTTTTTCTCCATGCTAGAGAGTTTCAAACGTGGCTTTATAAAAGGCCACAGAGAAAGACAGCATGTTACTTTGAAGAAAATCAACTTTCTTTGAAGAGCAACATGAAAGTCAGTATCTTGTACAGTTCAGTTTCCTTTAGCTCTTTTCATCACACTTTCTCCCCATTTCAGCTTAACAATAAACATAATCTCTTCCATGCAGCATCCTCCTACAGAGTATCAACACAAGTCACCAGATTGAGCTGCTTGATGAAGCTGCCCCAGTCTGACTGCTGACTTTCAAATCATGCCAAGTAACGAAAAAGACATTCAAGCAGGTCAGCAAAGGTGCACAGCATTTTGCACACCCAAACACTGAAGTCCAAGGAAAGCTTTTACTTATTTGGATCATTTTCATATTTTTCTTAAGGCAATAAAAGTGAAGAAAATAAAGCTTGCAGATGTGTTATTAAAATGACAAGCTTAATCTTTTCAAAGCGTCATTGGGATGTGCAGTTTTGATTTACCTGATTTGACTCTATGTGCTGGTTCTCACAAATGAAGGTAGTTAACAGAGAAGTCAGTTACCCTTACTTCACTATATCATTTTGTCCAGTAAACTAAAATCAACTGAATATGACAGTATTTTCTTAAATGGCCTTGTTGGAGGCATGAACCTTGTGTTTCTGTAATTTAACATACAGCATGTATATATGAAAGAGAAACAGAACTAAAAAGAAAACCCAACAGAGCAGCTTAAAGATGCATTGATGTACTTCATACTTGTATAGTAGGATCTGAATCATCTTCACTTAATGTATGGAGCAACCGCCACATGAGCCACTTCTCCAGGATAGCATGCAGCAAGATCTTTACATTTTTCTTCCCACTAAACATAATTAACAAACCCCTGTGATTCAGCCCATGGCTATTGAATAGTATTAATTGTTACAAGTGACTTTCATTTCTGTGTAAGACTGCATCGATAGAAGTGTAAATGCTGAATGTAAAGTAAGGTTAAATCCTATATGCTTCTGACAAAGGATATTTTAGTTCTTAAACAAATAAATCATGTGATATGGAATGTGAAGGATCAAAAGGAGTGAAAGTCCCTTCAGGAAGTGATAGAAAACAATAAACACAGTATCTACGAACAACTCGTTGTTTCCTCAAGACAGAACTCTCAGTGTCTCCATGGAAACAAACACACATTTTAGCCAACATTAATTGATTTAAATAATAGATTAAAAAAATAAATAAATGGAATTTGGCCCTTCCAGTGGAAACACTAATGTAATCAAAGATAACACTGTGAATTTAGGTTGCCTCCTATCACATTATTCAAAACAAATGAATCTTATTCTAACGTGCACTTGATTGATAAAACTTTAAATCTTGTTCAAATACACGGGATCAATGGCAACATATAGGTGTTCAGAGCATCTCAGCACTTACATCTGCTGATGGAAGCTATTATGCAACTACATTGCCCTGAGTCTGTTGACTCTAAGGAAATTGACTGTACTTTTCTAACATGCCAGTAGTAGGCTTATCCACATTTGCTGTAACTCTCTTGTTTGGGCCTTTATGGATAAAGGCTGTGCATTGATTTTGTGCAGGGTTGTTCCTCCTAACAACCTGAGTCAGCGATTTTCAAATATGAATAATTCAGAATACAAAATAATATGTCTTTTTCTTCTCTTGGCTTGTGAGGAAACGAGTCAAACCAGTTATTTAAGCTTACGCTGCCTCTATAAAAATTCTCTTTGTGTTCAATTTCATTGCAAAACAACCACCAAATACATTCATACTCATAAACTCATCACCACATTTCAGTCAACACTTATTATGCCATGTATTTCTTATTTAAAAACAGCTTACCTGACATATCTACAGTAGGAATATATTGAAATAACCCTAAGCTACATTATTCATTCATATATATATCAATTTTCAGTGACCGAGATACCTGGCAAAACAGTATTTGAGTGACAGAGGCAAAGCAGAAGAAACCATAGAAGTTATTCTTCAGACATGTGAAACTAAAAAGGCTGGTTTTCAGTAGTGCAATTAAAATAAAATATTACTGCCAATGCAACAGTCCCTTTTACAGGTAAATACACTCTGATTAAGTTTTTCAGAAATGGGAAGTTAAACAAAAAAGATATTACCTAATGCATTACCAGGTCACCACTGCCACTACCTGCATAACCTCACAACAGACCAAAACAAGACCTATGAGGAACGAACTCGGGAAAAAAAAAGAAGAAACTCAATGTCTCAGCACAGAGCACAGCAAGATGTTCATACTTTACACCAACTGTGCTAGCCACCAAACTGCATTTGCAAATTGTTTGCACTTTTTAAAATCCCTTTATATAACATATAGGGAAAAATAACCATTGCTCATAAGCAATTATCTCTAAAATGCAGGATTGCCCAGGTGGATGTTTGAAAAGGGTCCTTAATTTTAGAACAGGATGCTCTGAGATAGATTTTCCTATTGGAGGAATAATACCCAGTAACCACCAGCAGCAGCCTCTTTGCAAGTGCCATATTTATGAATAAAGATCTCAAGGTAATTCTTGTAGTTATCATCAAACCAGGACATAAATAAATATACAAATCACTTTCCTATAAAGCCCGGATACACTTCATAGTGTTACATTCAAGCTTGTTGTTGCAGAGAAATATTCAGGACCAAACGCAGCCTCTAATGCGATAAATTGGTAGCAGCCAGGGAAGAGCTGGATTTGTCAGTTTGGCGAGTTACTGACCTGGATTCAAACCACAGAAAGTAAGTTGTATGCAGAACTGCTAGCTACTGCCTGCATTAAAACCTATCAATGCCTTTGTTAAAGAAACTCACAATAACATCTTTGACCACTGATTAACGTTTTGATATAGTTGAAAGACCTAATTGTCAATGCAAAGTGCAATTAGAGCTACTTCAGCGATGGGAATTTCTTGAACGTGCATTACCAAACGTGAAATAAAAGTCAGTTCTGACTCTAATTTATTATCTTTAATCTGTTAAAATACAGGACCTGCTGCATGTTACTGCTGTCAGGTAGCTTAAATAGCTTGGGCTCTAAGGAAAGAGATCTTGTACAATTGCTGTACACCTATTTAGGTAAGTACAGAAAATCCATTTAGGAATATAATAAACTATATTATCTACATATCTATTAGTGACAGACTATCTGTTATTAGGCCTTGTGGTTACAAATGACTCTTCCCTTTCCCAATGCCCCCATCCCCCAGCAGCAGATCACTTTCAGTGCCATTATTGTCAGGCGTATTAAATTTTCAGGACACACAGTTGTGGCTTCCAGGTCTCTCTTTAGCCCTTGATCTGTGTTTTTGACCGTGCGTTTCTACACTTAAGATGACAGAGCAGAGGCACAACAACGTTTTATGTACTACAACTACAAAGAAGCAGATTTGTCATTGATTCGTGGCAACACCCGCAATATTAATTAAAAAAACCCAAACCTTCATTCATCAAAATTCTCTTAATGACACGGAAAAGATTCGTGTTAGACACAGTTCTGTCTCTAGATCAGACATTTTCTAACCGAACACATTGTGGCAGACAACAATTTCCCACGCAAAACGGTATTACCTCTGGCTTACCTGCTCCGGTTCTTACGGAAAGGGTGAGAAAGAAGCGAGGTACCGCTGCCTTTCAGCCGTGAAAAGCAGCAGATTTCCTAGCTCATCGCAAAGGGATGGCAGCGGTATGATTAATGCCTTACGGGAGCTTAAACAAAGCACCGCTGCTCTGGAGCGGCATCGTGTGAAACCAAGTCATCTTTCTGACAGCTCCTGCTTTCCAGCAAAGCTGACAGAACACAGGACGCCCTGGGAAAACGCTAACAAAGGGAAAAAGGGGAGGAATGGGAAAGAACCAGCGGAGCCATAGAACTCCCCGGCAGCAGTGAGGCAGCACCTTCAGGTCTCCCGCCCGCCCGCTCACACCCCTCCCCGAACAAAGGCAGCTCACCGCGGCAGGTAGCAGCTCCCGGGGGTTGCCGGCTGCCCGCCCGCCCTGCGCCCGCCCGCCACATGTAGCGGTGGATGTGCGGCACAAAGCGGCGGCCCTTCGGCGGGCCCCGCACCGCGCGGCCGGAGAGCGCCTGGCCAAGCGCTGCCGCCGCCCGAGCGGAGAGGCGAGAAGGGGCGTGCGGCGCTCCGCGGGGCCCGCGGGCTGGCTCCTTCCCGCTGCCAGCACCGCAGCGACCTCTGCCCGCGGCGGGCCGGGCCGGGGCGGGGCGGGGCACGGGCGTAGGGCCCTACCTGCGCTCCGTCTCCCCGCTGCCAGAAGGGACGAGCAGGCTGCTGCTGTGGCTGCAGCCGGTGCCAGTGCCGCCGCCCAGCCCGTCGGATGCCGCTCCCACGGCGGCCGCCCCATGGCACTGCCACTGTCGCTCACGGGCGCCCCGCAGCGCCGCGACCCAGCCGCAGCCTCTCCCGAGTCCCTTCACTCTCGACCCAGCAGTGCTGGGCTCCTTTTGTTGGGAAGGAAGGAGTAAAGCTGGATTTATCCGGTTTCACCGGGATCCCGCTAGTCTTGGCACCGTTTAGCGCCTTCTCTGCCCACCGCGCTGCCCGAGCAGGTGAGACCCACACCTCTGACTGCACCCGGGCTCTGAACCCGACTTTGTTCTCATCTCACCGCAAGACCAGTGCCTGAATTCAGCACCTGGCTAGTCCTATAATCAGCAAAACACTTTCCCCCTTCATTTACTAGATTACGGAACTACAAGGAACAAAACAAAGTAAACTGTTCCCCAACAGCCTCCCACCTTTCCCATGTCCTTAAATCCAGCTGGTGAATGGATAAGAGTGACCAGCAGGTCAAAGGAGGTGATCCTGCCCCTGTGCTCTGCTCTTGCGAGAACCCACTTGCAGTACTGTGTGCAGTTCTGGTGTCCTCAACATAAAAAGGACATGGATCTGTTGGAACAAGTCCAGAGGAGGGCCACGAGGATGATCAGGGGACTGGAGCACCTCCCATATGAAGATCGGCTGAGAAAGTCGGGGCTGTTCAGCCTGGAGAAGAGAAGGCTGCGTGGAGACCTCATAGCAGCCTTCCAGTATCTGAAGGGGGGCTATAGGGATGCTGGGGATGGACTCTTCATTAGGGACTGTAGTGACAGGACAAGGGGTAATGGGTTAAAACTTAAACAGGGGAAGTTTAGATTGGATATAAGGTGAAAATTCTTTACTGTAAGGGTGGTGAGGCACTGGAATGGGCTGCCCAAGGAAGTTATGAATGCTCCATCCCTGGCAGTGTTCAAGGACAGGTTGGACAGAGCCTTGGGCAACAAGGTCTAGTGTGAGGAGTCCCTGCCCATGACAGGGTGGTTGGAACTAGATGATCTTAAGGTCCTTCCCAACCCAAACCATTCTATGATTCTATAATCTGGTACTTGTATCAGCAATTCTAGGGCTCTTCCAATTCACTTTTCTATGTCAAGATTTTACCTGCACCAGCCACTGCTTTGCCAAACTTCCCAAGGAGAACTCAGTAAAATCAGATTGTATACTCAGTTCTGTCCACACTCTGCTGCCTTTTGTACCAGAACTGATTATGTGATTTGTGATCTTCCGCTGCTGAAAAGATAACGTGTTTTGCTAGCCAGGTCTCCTGGTTCAGATGCTCCCTGGACAAAAAGGTTTGGGGGATCCAGCTTTGGATCCTGCCTGCTCCCTACCTTTTTGCCCCAGTCAGCAGCAGTCCTTCTGGTATTCCTAAAAGGATCTGGGTCTCACAGGGAACTAGCATGCATGCTGGGTCAGACTAAAAAGCCATCTTACATTTTTATGTCTCTGACTGTGTCCAATCCTGGACATTTTAAAGGAAGAATGTAAGTTTAGGCCAGTATTTATTGATACTCTCCCACCCCTTAGTGATTTGCAACTCAGTGAATTCCTAGGGCAGAAGTGGTATTTGTGCAAAAAGCCAGTTATATGCCTCTGGAATAAATAGTAATTTCCAGAAACCATTTTTTCTCCTGAAGCATTCTAGTGATGATCAGTTGGACGAGTCTTGAGAGGTACACCCCATCCCCTTTTCAGTCCCCTCACAACTAAAGCCAGTACCCAGGGTGCAGATAACTCTGAAATGAAGCTCATGCACCAGATCCAGACTTAGATGGCTGATAAGCATATTGCTATCTTTACATTAGTAATTACATATATGTGTATTTATACCCAAAATGTAGGGATGTAAATCACCTCAAATGTGAGAGCTGATTTTTGCAGCACTCCTCTTGACAGACTCCAGGGTCGCGCTGCTATCACAGCACTTGCACATTTCTAGGCAGTAGAGTTGAGAGGTACAGATAAAAAACTCCAAAAGCAGCCACCAGAAGAGGTGAATCCAGTCATTGCTTTCAGATCAGTGAAATTACTCAAAGACACCAGACCTTTCTTGACAGAGGTTGATCTTTTCACTTTCGTGGAGGAGAACATAAGCTAAAATGAGATTTATTTTTTTCTTCATAACTGACAATTTCTGGAAAGTGATGCAGTCGCAAACCTCAGCAGCCAAGTGATGGATGGACTTCAAGAATATGTGGCTTTATTAGAAATCCTTTCACTTCGACTTTATTCGGGGTATCGAAAACGTCTGTGAAGAAACTCGAAGCTGTTAAGCCTGTGCCACTATCGCTAGAAAAGGCACAGTTCCACTAGGTGGCACAAGTACACCACTTAAAAGCAAGGAGAAGGCGGGGGATGCCCAGCTCCTGCCCAGCATTTTTAGTTATGCATTCATGCAAAGCAAAGGGGTACAGACATAGATGGCACACACAGCTACAGCCCAGTAACCCACACTTCCCAAATAAAACCAAGCTCACATTACCAACGTGTGCCTTTGGACTTAGAGGCTCAATGAAAATTTCCCCGAAGAGCAGTATCTTCTGCAGACCTTCACTTATGGCTCACTAATAACCATGCTGCAACTCGTTGCTGCGTTCTCATTCAGGAAAACACTGCTGTCCCTGCTCAGCAGTATTAAAATTGAAGAGAAGCAGCCACTGACACTAATTTCTCCCATTTTATTCCATTTACCATCACACTATTCTAGTTAGTTTAAGCAGACAGGCTAATTCCTGCACCACCACCTTGAAATGGTAAAGGACAACCCCCCAAAAACCTGGGACAGCAGCTCTGCTCAGACGATGCTGAGTTCGCAGCACACACAGGTGCGATAGGCAACTATCATGTGATAAGTTCCAAAACTCACCATCTACCCAAGCTCTGGTGTAGATAAATCTTAATGTTGAGATAAAACAATGCAATACAATTATTTTTATACTCATAAAAATGTGTGAGAGGTAACGTTGCAGCCTGACACAAGATAGATGGGGTGGGGTTTTTTTGCCTTTGCAGCTAAACCAGAGCTGGTAACACTGCAGTGTTCCAGCTATTGCTGAACAGTGCCTGCACAGCACCAAGGCTTTTCCTCTCCCCCCATTTACAGCAGCTTCAGCTCCAGGAATTGATTCTGTTGCACTTACTTCCTTCATGTCCAAGGATAAAATGAAACTGCAACATCTGTATACATGTTTTGTAGAGAAACAGCCCCTTTATTATTTTTCTAATGTTATTGCCCCTTATTTCCAACTGCAGATAACAGAAAACAGACTACTTGAGTATTCTGACTTTTCCCAGTTTAGTGTCTGTTCCACTCTGCTTTCAACTCACCCAGCTGGAGGCTAAAACAGCCCATGATACTTCCCTGGGCTTTTGATCTTCCGGAAGGTGAGGACAGCACAGGAGCTTCTCGGAGAGGAGTCCAGGAGAGTCATGTTAATATCCCAACTCACATAAGGCTTGTTTCGTACATGACACATAGGATCATGTGTGAAAGAGATTCAAATCTTCCACAAATTTGTGCTTGTTTTGTACTTTATGGAATGACATATTTGATTTCAAAGCACAGTTGTGTACGTGTTACTTGTATTGTAGTTGTTTACAAAAATGTATATAAATAATAGTAAGAGAAGGTAAAATGACAGCTTTACTATAGTCTGAATATCACTAAGGTTTTAGTTTCAGAAAGCTGCACAGGCTTTGGTCACTGAAGTGATACCAGTTTTATTATACCACCTGTGCTCAAATCCACTAATTCTTCATAATTGATATGCATGTACAAATTACCAGTAATTGAAGTGCTATGGTTTTAAATGTAATGTCAAAATATGCATTTTTATAAGATGAAATACAGTAATTTCAATAAAATGGAACACATATTTTGTTTTTAAAAATTCAGATTCCAGTTGTAAAGGGTTTACATACAAAATAAAATATTTTAAAGTCACCACTGAAGATGCTGAGAGCAGAACATGAGCTCTTTTCTCATTCTTACTGAACTGCTTCATCCTGAATAATTAGCATCAGTGGAAACTGCTGACTTAATTACAAACAGTATTGATATGTAAGTAACATTTAGAGATGACACTTTTCCCATTCCTGTAACTGGGATATGAGAGACCTTAAAGGTAAAAAGTGTGAGGTACACTCCTGTCAAATACACAATTCCTTCCAGTAGCCCAGAAGCTTGATGAGGTACAAATACTTTCAGGTACTTCTGAATGGTGTTGTAAGTTGGTTTTAATTAGTAAAATTTAATACATATAGACACATATTAAATAACAAAACTGACAAGATACAATATAGGAAAAATTAAATACATAGCTTGCAACAGCAATTATTTATCTATGAATATATGATAAAATATTGCCAGTCAACACACTAGTATTTATAATTTCTAACTGTAACAATCTTAGTGCAAAATAGACAAAATCTAAAAAACGTGTATATATATATATTTTCCCTGTCATTTAATACCTTGCTTACACCTTAGAAATGCTTGTAA